TAACACATATCATATAAATTCATACCACATAATATATAATACGAACAAAATATTCACAATATCAAACATAATCGTACTTCTACTCCTACAATCATATTGGAAACAGACTTGTCGCAAGTCCAATTTCCATACAATACGTATATTATAATAATACGCACTCACCTGGCCTCACTAGTCAATACCGATCTCTTATCTTTTCCTTGATCGATCTTACTTGCCAAATATTCCGGAATTTCTTTACGCTTAGAATCTACATAAATGTACATTTTAAGGCAATTATTAGATACCTACACCTTGTAATTGGATATTAGCAACTTATACGAACCTATTAAATCAATATTCACAACTTTCCTTTAGGGGGAATCGGTTCTCTACTGTGGGGGAATCGGTTCCCCTATGACATTCTGGAATTTCTGGTTCGGTTGAGGGGGTATCGATTTCCATTGAATGGGTATCGATTCCCCTAGCCCCGAAATCATGTTTTGAGCTCGAAAATCACTTAATTTTCAGCTCCACACTTTCTATTTCACTTCCTTTAATATTCTTAACTCATATACATACTTAAACTTTATACCCATTTATTTCATTTAAACCTCAAAATTCATTCTCCATATAGAAATCAATAATCACATCAATTTCCATGTTACTCAAACTTAATTCTAACACTTCTAGCTTCTTATTATCTAAATGACAAGTCAAATTCATCCTCTAAATTCATTTAAACCTTTTATTCAAAATTTCACTTAAAAACTCCAATCTTTGCTCCATATTATCTTTTTCATCTTATAGTTTTAAGATAACTTAAGCTTTCCTTAAGCTTAAGTATCATCTTATGATTAAAACCCAAGCTTAATTTCAACTAAAAACCAACTAATAAGAAATCTGACCTTTGCTCTTGGCTTCCACACGTGAAGAAGAAAGGAGAAGAAGAGAACTCTGGAAACTGGAACCTTGCTCCCTTCATTTCCACGTGTTATATCCTATATAAAGGAGGAAGAAAAAATCTTTCTTATGAAATTACTATTATACCCTTCATCTAATCCAATAAGGAATTATTCATATCTAAATCATTGAACTTTCAACTATCCTACTTTTATCCCCAAATTCTAAAATTTTACCATTTAATCACTAACCTGGTATTGAGGATATGACAGAAACATAGAAGAGCATCCCAGCTTACTTCTATAAATACTAGAGGTAATTTAACATTCAAAATCATGGAGCCTTTTGGTGAGCACAGAGCGAACTATTCTTTCGCTTCAATTGAGCTCGAATTTTAGACTTTAATCGAGCTTCTAAATGTTTTTGAGTTCGAGCCTTTTCGAGTTCAAGTTTCAATATTATATTTCGAGTTTGAGTTGAACTGGATAATTTTTAGCTCGTGATTTTGAGTTGAGTTGAGCTTACTTTTAAAGTTTTCGAGTTCGAGTTCGACTAGGCTCGTTTAACAAATGATGTCGTTTGGTTTAATTATTTTTTTAAAGAAAAAAAGAGATCCGACGGTTCACAACGGTTTTCAGCCGTTCACCCCAGTTTTGTTCTCAACCGGTTCTACCGGTTCTGTGCGCTCCGGTTTTGGGAGTTAACCGGACCAGACATGCTACCGGTTCACGGTTCAACCGGTTGAACCGATCGGTCCGGTCCGATTTTAATAACACTGGTAAATAATGTGAAAATGAAAGAAATATGTGACCATAATGTAAAAATACGACAGAAGTCTGAGGATCTATGCGCTATATGATCTAAAATTTAAAACTATGGAGTGTACCCGACCTAGAGAACCCTTTGAAACAAACTCCAACCACCATTCGCGGTGGTCGGGCTCCTCTACATGAAACTGAATAACCTCTCCACTCTATTCTCTTCCGATACTTCAATCCGGCGGCCAGCTCGATGAGGCGCCCTAATCGAATATGTAATCACTCAAAACCCCCATATTATATCTTTATTTCGAAATGCACATAAAAAATTAAAAACATTGATGAATACCTCTGATTTTTTGAGTATTGTTGTTGATTGATTGCCTTCCTTTTACATGTTTTTAAAAGGGTTCTTATAGCCATTTTTTTATTACACAAAAAAGAAAAAATGAACTAGCTTATTTTGTTGGTCTAATTTTGGCATTTTTCCATTTTCATGATTGTTTGTGTGTGGTGGCTCCAATGAGGCTTGTACGGAGGGCCTGGTCCGAGATTAGGTCGCGCATTGGTCATATTAAATGCACCCATATTTTTTTTTATCTTGTCTCGACTTGGTGGCTCGACGAACGAAACGACGTGGTGACAAGATAACAGTGGAAGCAGCAATGGCGTGACTTGGCGGCTAGAAGCTGGTTATATTAGGGTTTTGAAAACCATAATTGTGTATTGATCTAGACCGTTGGATGGGGTCTTGATCCAATGATCCAGGGTGAGCTGCGGCTAAGACAAAGGGTGAAACCCTAGTTGGTAAACAATTTGGACCGTTAGATCACTCCTAGATCTGACGGTGGAGATCTGTGCGACACTAGGACAACAAGAGGAAACACTAGTTGCTGGGTTGTCTATACAGGCCTCCATCATTGAGGCTGCTGATTTTGTTTTGTATTGGGTTGTTTTAATTAATAATAATAACAATTTTTTGGAATGTTTAATAATAATAATAATAATAATATAATGATAAAACAAAATTAGGGCATGACACTTAAGCACATCGATCATTCTTGATACTGCTGTAATACATAAATAAATTTCAACAAAATACTTATCTGTCTCCTTGAGATCCGATCAATGATGATTCTGAAGGTGTTCAGTTCAACTAGTGTGAATCAGTATTAATAAGTGAAATTCATGAAGTACTGATAAGTGTTTATTTAGTAATGGGATTCTTTCGGCGTTGCTGCGGAGTACTGATAAGTGTTTTATTTAATTATTATTTTGCTTTTAAATTGCTTAGTAATCATTAGATTTTGTGGCTTATTTATTCTTTTTGATTCATTTTCTGTGCAAGATGCTAGATTCTGGAAATGGTACTAAAATGACAGAATTCTGCAGTTTTTTTTTATTTTCAGAATCAAAGCTGGAGTAGTGAGCATGACTTTGGGGCATGAACATTGACAGGCGATGATGTCAGCACCTTCTAGAAGGTCCAATCAGAGCTTCTAGAAGAACGAATGGATCAGTCGTACATTTCTGCAATTCGAATTTGAATTAAACTCATGTTTTAGGATATTATTTTAAATATTATATTTTATCTTATCTTTGTTTGAGGTATTTAATTTAAATAGTTTTAAGTATTTTAATTATGATTTATTTTCTTTATTTTAGGATTATGTTTACCTTGTTTTTAGGATTTTGAAGGCTTTAAATACTCTCTCAGGGTAAGTTTATAAACATATCTCTCAACAGATGAGAATTTACTCTTCTTCTTCTCTCTAGTTTTATAAAATTCTCTCTTTTATGTCCTTTCAAATTTTTTATTTTTTTATTTTATTTTAAAGTTTTGTTTTCAAATATGCTAAGTATGAATTTGGTCATGCTTAGCTAATTTTCTTTTAAGTCGAAGGCTAAAGCGAAGGCTTAATTCCAGACGTGAGAATTGTAAGACACTTGAATCGCTTAAGATTTTTCTCTATGTTTTCTGGGCTTATTTTCATATCAAAACGATTTTCAAAATCAAAAGTCGGCGTTGGTCTGGATGTTGTTATGGTTAACGTTGGATGAAAGATCGACTTATTGAAACACATTCGACTTCTTGTGAACTCACTTAGCAAAATTGTTTGCTAAGAGGAAACTGAGATCAGAATCAGTTATTGTTGAAACAACATAATCTGAGTTGAACTTTTCGAACTTCAATGTTTAAGATCTACAACATTGTTGTTGCTTAGATCAAACTCACAACCGAAATTAAAGAGTGCACTTGGATATTCGGTATACAAAGCATAATCACAAGGATTTATCCTTGTAGACAAGTAGCCGATGTGAATCTTGAAGTAAAGATCTATTTCGATGATCTGAGGAATTCGATGCAAAGCTGAAGCCTGAGGCTATTTTTACCATAAGTTTTCTTTATCTCAATTTATTTTTTATTTATTTATTTGTTTATTTATTTAATCTTTATCTCATTTTATTTCTTTAAACAATTTAAAAACTCCCCATTTATCTTTATCCTTATCTTATAATTATTATTTATTTATTTTATTATTTTATCCTTATCTTCTATTTTAAAACGATTTATATTAATTATTTTTTATTATTTTATTCTTATCTTTTTAACTTTATATGAAATCCTACCTTATTCTAAATCAAAAAGTCACTAATCAAAAACACCAGAGTCCATGTGGATCGTCTTCTATTTCTCACTTTTTACTTATTAAGAAGCTAATTATTTTGATAGCAAAACGATAGTTATTAAGTATGGTACATGTAATTAGAGGCATGTAGGTCACATTTGTTTCTATGTTGAGTTTGGACTTGTATGAGTTTTGACATTATTGAATTATGTTTAATACACGAGTGTTTTTATGAAATTGTGTTTTTATTTATAAATTATTTTACGGTTTGAAATAGTTTAACAAAAATTTAATTTATTTTTTTTGGATTTTTACTGTATCACTTCGATAACTCTAATGTAACACTTCGAATAATATCAGATCACCCGTATCAGTTTGGTGTTATAGATTATGTACTATATTGCTGTTTTTGAAACTTTTCATTATTGCGATACCATGTGCTTATTATTTCTTAAATATCCTGGTTTAGAGTTTCTAAACTAGAAGATTTTAAAAATTATTTGAGATTAGTCGTCATTACTAAAGTTCATTAAAATGCTTACATCCAATATATATGGAAAATAATTAAAGCATACTTGTCTTATAACAGAACACGAGAAAATTACGTAATTTTATCCATTGATATTCCAAAAATCAAAGATAAACACACATTAGTACAGAATTTGGATTGAATTAAGCAGGAAAATCCACAAAGGAAGCATATAATTAAGCTTCATTACATAATACAAACAGTCGTAAAGTATATACTTGCATGGAGAGGTTTGCAAACACATCTTATATAGCAAAATTATCAAATCACCAATCACTCTGATAATTTTCATGTGCAAGCGTTTCTGAACGTAATTCACCAGCTTTTCAATCTCCTTGGCGCTTTCAATTTGGCCATCATGGTTGCAATCCGCTTCTTTCATCCCCTGGTGTGCTTTCCACCATCCGAGCCGTACTCTCAGGCTGTGCAGCGCGTCTTTCAGCTCTTCCTCGTTAATCCGTCCGTCATGATTGGCATCAAAGTGGCGCAGCCACGCTTTGAATTCGTCCACCGTCATCTCCATGCTGGGATGGACCTTGATACACCACATGATCGCCATGCCGGATCTCTCCCAAAACTCTCTGATAAGTCTAATGGAAAAAGGTGTGCAAATGGAAGGCGATATCAAATGTGCTTTATATGGCGTCGGTCCGCCCTTAGATGCATGAATGGATTGATTTTAGTGGCAAACAGAATAACAGATCTTTTAACAAGATCTTTGAATGATTTTTCACAAATGTTTGATTGATTTGACTCTTGGAAGTTGATGTCGAAAATTCTTTTGTTTAAATTCATGTACATAAAAACCGTATATGATAACTTCATATTAAAAATTTATTGAAGGTATTCGGTAGTAAAAATGTTAAGCATTAATATTAGAATATTGAGAGTTTGTAAGCATTAATATTAATAAAATATAGAGAGTTAGAACATTGATTTAGGGTTTTGCTGTAATTGGTTTTCGAAAAATGAATTACTGAAATTTGAATTACTGAAAAATGAATTACTGTAATTTGAATTCTGGAAATGAATACATTTCTGGAAAACATTTTTCGAAAAATGTTTTCCGTAAAATGAATTACATTTTTATGAAAAAACATCTGAAAAACGTTTCATGATGTTTGGAAGATGTATTTAAACATTTTTTCCACTAGTTGAAGAGTTTTTTAAAAATATTTATATAATATTAAATACAATAAATAATATTATTATCATAAAACTTATTATTATTAAAAAATTTATTATTATTAAATAGTATTTTTATAATTTTATTAATAAAATATTAATTTTTGTATATTTTAGTGAAATAAAAATATTATAAATTATATAATTATTTATTAAAGTAATAGTGTTATATATATTTTAAAAATATTAATTAGTATATTTTAAATATCTTTACTAAAATATTATTTAAATATATAAATAATATTATTCATTATTAAATATATAAAACATTTTTTATATATATTTAAAATAAAAATATATCTTATATTAGTATAATATTTGATTATTTATATAATATTAAAAATATAATATTATATTATAAATATTATAAATAAATAAATAATATTTTGATGAAAATGATATTAAAATATTTTATTAATATTAAATTCATAAAATAAATTATTTTGAGTATTTATTCTTTGAAATGAAAGTTCGAAAAATGACTTACGGAAAATGAATCCGTAAGTCATTTTCCAGAAAACACAAAGGAAATTGTTATAGGAAAATTAATTACGTTCCGGAAAACTAATTACGTGAAACAAACATTGGAAAACATTTTCCGGAAAACGAATTTCGTGAAACAAACTCGTGAAAACATTTTCCGGAAAACGAATTAGTGAAACAAACACGGGAATCGGGGAAAACCAATTTCGTAATTCCCAATTACGGCAAACAAATAGACCCTTAGAAGGATCTAGAGAGTTGTATTGTCCTATATATGTTTGCAAATGGGAAAAAGTGTGGCATTATGTTTATTTAAAAAAATTATTATTTTCTTACCATGGTATCGAGAGCTTTTGGACCTGCAGGGTCTTCTTATTCTTTCTTGTTGTTCTAATCATTCTTATTTGTTTCTATTTTCCATAGGTGATCAGAATGAAAAGTTTGTGGCAGTCTTCCAAAAGACGTTCACCAATAAGCGTGAGTGTCGTTTTAGACGAGTGTAATTACTTACAGTGGAAACAGAGGTTCTTTAGGTTGTGAGGAGCCCGCATTGAGCTTATCACTGGTGAAGTTACTCCGTCGCCTCCAACGGTGATTCTAGAGGATGGTTCCGTTACTACTAATGAGACGTACAAACTCTTTGTGGCACAAGATAGTGCTTTGGCTTCATGACTTTTATCCACGATAACTCTGTCGATTCTCCCTATTTAGTTAGGGTTGATACAACGGTATAGGACTAGTCCACAGTGACTAAGTTTTGCGAGTAAGTCAACAACGACAATGATGAACCTTCATGTTTGCCTAAAGGCCATTCATAAGGGTGAACTGAGCATGAGAAAGTACATCTCTCAGATTAAGGAAATCTGCGATGTATTCGCCGCTTGTGGTTGTTTGATTTCTGAGTTTGAGCAAGTGGCTATTATCTTGAATGGTCTCCCGTCTGAATATCAGTTGTTCATCGCAGTGATAACTTCCATTCAATTCGTTCCTCTGGATGAATTTATTTTGGTTTTTGTTGATGTCGAAATCTAGCAACGTGGGTTTTGAAGAGGCTGATACTCTATTAATCAGTGCTAGTGTTGCTCAACTTTCGTCACTGGTCACCCTGTGTATGGCAATCTTCTAGTTCGCGTCACTTCTTATTCGCCACATCAGGCAGGTCGTGGTCGTGGAAAACCAAGGATCCAATGACAACTTTATGGAAAGATTGGTCACTTGGTCGACAGATGTTGGCACCCATTTGATCAAAATTTTCCGCGTGCTTCCTGGTGGTCTTCTTCTAATATAACTAGTGTTCCCTCTGCTCAATTGTGTTCTTTTGTGCCAAATTCTTCTTGTGGTTGTGGTCATTCTAGATCATAGAGTGGCAACTCCTCTATCATGGTTACTCAGCATGGGTCACAGTCTTCTATGGGTACTCAAGGTGCATTAAAATTGGCTGGGAATTATTTGTGCACTCTGGAGCGACACATAACGTAACTTCTGAAGCTTCCAATGTTGTTGGAGGGTGAGGAATAAGCTTGTTGTTGGTGATGGTAATGGTTTGCAAATTTCTAAAGTGGTCAATCCAGTTTAATTACTTCTACTCGCACTTTACACTTAAACAATCTTCTTCATGTTCCACATATTTCGAAATTTGGTCTCCGTTTCTACTCTAGATAAAGATAATCACGTTTTTCTTGAATTACATGCTCATAGATACATAATTCAGGATGAGAAACGAAGGCGATCTTACTTGAAGGTCGTGAGATTGGTAGACTTTAGGAGTTTGATTCTCATTTTTTGCATGATAATACGTGATGAATATAATGTTGCACGGGGAGTTGTTGATGTTGGTTTATGGAATAGACGTTAAGGGCACCTAGTCGTGATACTATTCTTGTTGTGTGTAGAAATTGTAATGATGATGCCACCTTAACTAATGATATCACGATTTGTTCTGCCTACCAATATGGGAAGATTCATTCTTTGCTTTTTCTTCTTCTCAAACCATTTATACCAATCCATTTCACTTAATTTTCACTTATTTATGGGGTCTTCCGCATGTTACATCCAATGGGTATTGCTATTATGTATCATTTGTTGATGCCTGCACAAGGTACTCTTGGGTTTATTTGTTGAAAGACAAATCCCAAGCTATGCATGCTTTTTGACTATTTCAGCGGATGGTTCGGGTTCAATTTGGTAAGGAAATTAAGGAGGTTCAAAGTGATTGGATTGGTGAATTTCGAACTTTCATCAATTCACTACAAATTGAATGAATCTGACATCGACTCACTTTCCCTCACACTTCCCAACAAAATGGTGTTGTTGAATGTAACACCAGCATATCGTCGAAATGACACTGACATTATTAGCTCACACTTCCCTCATATGCAGTGGTGATGGTTGTGTATTAATCAATCGGATGCTACCTGGGTTCTTCAGAATTCATCTCCGTTCATGAAGCTATTTAGGAAATATTTTTCCTATGAGCATTTACGAGTATTTGGATGTAAATTTTCATTTATGAGTATTCCGATCCCAAACATGCACATTTCTTGGCTACAGTGTGCAACATGAGGGACACTTGTATATGGCGTCAAATGGTCGGATTTATTTCTCTCAACACTTTAAGTTTGACGAATCCGTGTTTCCATTTACAGGGAAAAATTCGGATTTAATAGGTTCTTCTTCATGGCTCTCTTCATTACCTCCTTCGATGTGGTGCCTGGTGCTGCATCTGTTTTATGTAATCATGCTTCTTCGTTACATTCTTCAATAATGGCGCTATTCCTTTGGCAGATTTTGCTTCATCGTCTATGCTCTTATTGGAATCATGGTGAGTGATATTCCTCTCGCTTATTCCCCTGGGTAGCTACTCCCAGCAACCTGAAGCAAAAAATGATGATGTTCACTCGATGGTCACTCGAAGTAAAGTTGGAATCTTCAAGCCAAAGGTTTTCACTGTTCAAGACTTGCTAGATGGTGATGATCCCATCACGGTTCATCAAGCATTGAACTCTCCTACTTGGAAAGTTGCTATCTTGGAGGAGTACAATGCCTTAGTTCGCAACGACACATGGAAACTTGTCATGTTACTCTCGGGCAGAACTTCCATCGATGTAAGTGGTTGAATTAAGAAAAATGGATGGGTCGATTGCTAAGCATAAAGCTCAGTTGGTGGCGAAAGGTTTGCCCAAGTTACGGCCAAGACTTTCATGATACCTTTTCTCTGGTTATTAAGTCATCTACTGTCAACGTGGTTTGTATCTTGCAGTCATGCATGAATGAAACTACGCCAAGTTGAAATCAATAATGTTTTTCTTAATGGAGAACTTAGTGAGGAGGTCTTCATGGTTCAACCTCGGGATTTGAACAACCTACTTCCGATTGTACCCAATTGTTTTTTGCAAACTTGATAAAGCGTTATATGGTCTTAACAAGCACATCGCAGCTGGTATGCTAAAACGCTAATTTCTTATTAACATTGGATTTCGAGGGACACAAGCTGATGCTTCATTATTCATTCGACGTAAGGGTGATTCTCAATTTTTGTCCTATATATGTGGATGTATTATATCCCATGGCATAATATTGATGATGTGGAACAAGTCATCTCCTTGTTAGGTCGTGAGTTCGCTCTAAAGACTTAGGAAAGTTAAACTTTTTCTTGGGTTTAGAAGTCTCTTGTAATGCTAATGCTATTGTTACGAAAATGCAAATTTATCCTTGAATTGCTGACAGGATGGGCATGCGAGGTGCACATCCCGTTCCTACTCCAATGGTTGTGGCTCCGAAGCTTTGTAAGGATGGAGGAAGTTCGTTGTCAAATCCTCATTGTATAGGAGCGTTGTTGGAGCTCTTTTTTACTTGAATCACGCTAGTCTGCTATTACTTTTAGTGTTAATAAAGTCGCTCAATATATGCATAACC